TCCACCTCACTTAGCTCTTCTTCTGGAGAATTCTCTGGTTCTTTCATTTGGGGTTTGTTTTTTTGTCTCCCCATTTTGGCTGCCTGTTTGGGTTTATGACTATGTATTAGGTAGATAGTCACAAACTATCTACCTAATGCTATGCCTCCTAATGTCTAGTGCAGGACAATGTCAAACACTGTTTATGACTAATTATATCAGGCAAAGACTCAGAGCCTCCAGAGACCACCTCTGCCTGCAGACTGATTGGATTCAGTCTTGAGTCGCCTCACGTAATCATCCACAGGTAGGGTGAGATGTTTTCCAACAGGTTGGAGCAATTGCTTCTGCCTGGAGGCTAATTGTTATTCTCAGTCTCTTAATAGGCCTCAGAAACTCCAAGGGGTTTTCCAATAGTGTGGGTCAACTGTCTTCTCCCCAGGCAAAAACTGCCTGTATAGCAAAGGTCTGCCTGAGAAAGATGTCCTCCGCAGCATGAGGGAATGACTCAGCATAGGAAAACGGGGTGTCTGCCTTCTGAGCTCTAACCCTAGAGCCTCCAAACCTTGTTTGTGCTCACACAGCCCCAGTCCACTTTACCCTCCCTCTGCTGGAGCCCAAGGTGAATAGCTGTACATGACATTTTGTGCATTGGCCCTTTAAGAGGGTGCCTACCTTTCTAGCCACCTCTCCCATCAGACATCAACCCTGCTACTTTTCACAGCTAGATGTTATGTGGGCACTTTTCTCAGTTCTGGTGCTCTCTGATGGAGGGGGGCCCATCTTGGGGTTTTAACCCTAGAGTTCTCAGTGGCAACCCCCACAGCTGAGATATCTCTCTGGAACTTCAGCTGCTGTCTGTGGGAGTCCAGCCAGCCCATTTGCACCTCTGCCCTTCCTACCGGTCTCTATGCTGTCTCCACTTTCTGTCCTCAGTTATCAGGGTTCTCTCCAGCTAGTCTTCAGTTGATTATTCAGTCTTTTTTTTTTTTTTTTTATATATTTTAGTTGTAATTCCAATTTGGTCCTGGGATAATATCTGTGTAGCATCCATTTACTCTGCTTTCATTTTTTAACCCCTCATGTTGACTTTTAAACAAAATCAAGACAAAACCTTCAACTTAAAATATAATAAAATTTTGTAAAATTTCAGAATTTTTAACATAAGTGATTTCTTTCAACAGAAGCCATAATCTAGTACTCAGGTGTATTTCTTTCTTTTTTTATAAAATATATATATTTTTTATTTTAGAGAGGAAGGGAGAGGGAGAGAGAGATAGAAACATCAATGATGACAGAGAATCATTGACTGGCTGCCTCCTCTAATGCCCACTACTGGGGATCGAGCCTGCAACCCTGGAATGTGCCCAAACTGTGCCTCAAACTCTGACCTCCTGGTTCATAGATCAACACTCAACCACCGAGCCACACTGGCTGGGCTCAGGTGTATTTCTCTGGTGATCAGCTCTTTATCATTTTAGGTCAAAGTTGGACTATCTAAGACTAGTGAAATTCAGTCTCACAACCATTAACATCTTTACAAATGATAGTCTCTGTAGTGAGGTCAGCACTCTCCAGTCACCAAAGTCCTTACCACTCTCTACTGCCTGCCCTTCAGCTTTCGTTGGCAGTTTCCTGCTTGTTCCTCCAAAGCATTTCCGTTGCAACTTCTGTCTTAGATGACATTGATGTCTCACCTCTTTTGCTCCTCTGATGTGATGAAAGCATTGAATCAAGAAACTAACAGGGAAGTCCTGCCATAGATTTCACCTCATGGCCTGTCTTGTTTTCAGAGTGTGAGCACAAGGAGACAAAATACTGGAAGAAGCTCACCTCTCATCACCCCAGGGATGCAAGTTAAAATAAGATATCTTTATGCTTCAAATCTCTAAAGTTTGAGTAAGTATAAAAATTGATGATATTTACGGTTGGTGAAAGTGTGAAGAAATAGGTTCTCTTGTTTGCTTTCATAAATTGATGTCATTTTTTGGTCCAGCTATTGGGAAATGTTCACCATTTTGATTATATAGTTTGTCCCAAAAATGTGTACACACACTTTGAATGATTATAAAGGCAGTGTTTATTAAAATACATTTCATTTTCAAAATTGGGCTATCAGCTGTTAAAGTATGTATACATTTTTTGGGGGACACCCTGTATATATTTCACATATTCAAATATTTTTATTGTTACTGTTTGTGGTAGGAAACTTAAAAATAACCTAAATGTTGATCACTTGGGAAATGTTTAATCACAGTACTATGTATACAAACAAAGTTGCCTAGCATTTACGGCTGAGTCAAAAAGCAAAATCTAGAACAATGTGCATAGTATGATCTCATTAAAAGCCAGAATACTGGTAAAATAAAAGTACTGCATCTATATATTTTGATGAATGGAAATCAGTATATATATATAATCTAGAAGCATATGTCACAAACTATAACAGTTCTCTGTAGTCATGAGAAAGAATGGGCTAAGTTGGAGACACTAACTTCATGTTCTTTTCCATTAATCAGCATTTTTTATTTAAACAAAAATTTTAATAAACATTTTATATAAACTCACATAGTTCCTAGCCCCCAAATATATGAAGGTATCAATAAAAAGTTTTCTTTCATCTATGTCTACACCCAACCCACGTAACAGCTACTGTAAGTTTCTTAGGCATTCTTCTATCATTTCTTTTCTCTTTTTTGCTTAAGCAACTGAAATTTATTTTGTTACAGTTCTGGAAGCTGGAAGTCCAAGATTAGATGTTGGTAGGGTTGGTGTCCTCTGAGGCCTCTCTTTTTGGCTTGCAGATGGCCACCTTCTTGCTGCCTTTTTCACAGGTTCATCCTTCTATGCACAAATCTTCTATACTTTCTTTATGTTTCTACGAACAAATATAAATATAGATTCTTATTCTCTCCTTTTCTTTCCACAAAATATAGCATGTTATATCCTGCTTAACACAGGTTTTTTTCCCCCTATTCAACAATATACACTTTTGTACTGTTTGATAAAAATATTTACAATAAATCCTATTCCTTTGAAATTAAAATATATGACAGATGTTGGCCCTTGGCGAATGGGTGAGGATTGAAGCTATGGCGAGGGATTGCTCATCTCTCACAAAGATGGCAAAGTCACTTTAGCAGTTGAAACTCTAGACAATATTTCTAAAATTGAGACAAAAATAGTTATTTCAAGTAAAGAAGCATTTATCAATCAATCATGAATTCGCCCGCTGAGCACTGAGCTTGCTCTGCTTAGAAATGTAGTTCCACATCTCTAGATAGTCACTGTCTTCTTGTCTTGAAATACTTCTATGAAAGCACCCAGTGTTCTTTCTTCACATGTCTGTTCTAAGCACTTCTCTGCTGTGAGAAAGCAGTTTACATGGCTCAGAATCAGAGCTGCGGCAGAGTGGCCATAACGCAGCTTTCCAGCTGTGAGAACTTAGGCAGGTAATGTCATTCCCTAAGCCTGTTTCATGATTGAGGAAATGGGGTAATACTAATAATTCCTTCATAGGATTGTTGTGAAGATTAAATGAGATGATATAAGGAAAGCATTAGCACACAGTAGGGATGCTTTATTGTGAAATCAAAGGCAAAATCCTTTCAGAGGTCTTGCTTAATTCAGAAAATATTTATTTGAGGATTTGAGACTAAGGTTATTTCCACTTATGTCTTTACTTCCTATGAGAAAGGTTACCAACTGGGTGATGTGAGCCATAAAACATATATGTTTAAAACCAAGAAAAAAATAATTAATTAACATTATCAACTTATGCTCCCAGACTGATAAAAGTAAAGAGACATGTCCTAAGACTACACCCACAGGCCCTAAAATACAACCCTTTGTCTCGTATGTTTGACCTCTCATGATACAGATAAGACCATATTTTAAATTACAGATAACTTTACTTGCCTTTTAGACTTTAGGAGATTATTTGAGGTGTGCTAAGATGGCTCAAGTTTTCTTTTTTCAAACACAAGCAAAGTTTATTTATAAAGTCACAGAGGTAAAAGAAGGCAGCCATGAAGAAGTGAGCCAGCTAGGCTACCTTGACTCAGGAAGCAAGTTACAGAGGTAAAAGAAGGGCTCTTGGAGCTTAGGCAAAAGATAGCAAAGGTATGCGCCTTGAGGGAAGAAAAGGGGAAGGAAAGGCACAGACTCTTCTCTGGTGAGAGATCTCAGAACAGTGGTTGCCTCAGGGGAAGTATTAGCAGGAACAGGCGTGAGGGATCTTCCTAGGATGAAGAGAATTTCTATATGTTGATTTGGGGGATAGATAGGGTGGATACATGTGTCAGAATATACACTTAAGATATGCTAATTTTATTCCATGTAAATCATATCTATCTCAATAGGAACGTTGTTAGCATAAACATGTCAGAGATCAAGGCAAAAAAAATAATATTGAGAAGATTTATTCCTTTTCTCTGGGGTAAAGAAAGCATCTGTAGGAAGTTGCCAAGAATCTATTGACCCTACTGCAATGTTCAAAGTAAGACTCATAAATAACTGTGCTTATTGATGCTGGTAGAGGTGAGGGGGTGAGAGTCATCTTCCCTCTGAAAAGCCGCTGGAAAAGGGAAGGTTGACCTTTGACCTGTCCCTGCAGCCTGGGCTCATCCACAGGCAGATGGGCAGCTGCTCCCACGGAAGGAAGCCCTCTGAGCTCAGGATGAGCTGAATGCAGGACCCCGAGAAGCCTCTTCACCAGTCTGAGCCTTCCTTTCTTTTTCTCTACACTATTCTGAACTGCTCAGCTGACATAGGATTTCAACAGCATTCTTTCATCTTTCATGCTGCAGGAGAGCAATTTGTTATTGAGTGCACGCTTCCTTTGTAAGGCGATACATTTTCCCCTGGGCCTTAGTCCCTGTTCCTAAAGAGGAGTTTGAGAGCCTCTCCCAGGAAGGCTGAGATGCGCATAACTGCCAGGAAGAGAAGAGGGGGGAATGCGGGAACCGGAACCAGAATTTCCCTCAAAGGACTGAAAAGTCTTTTTTCTTCTGTAGTATATACCGTTTCTGTTCGGAAAGTTTTTTAGCCTGTCCTGCTGTGAGGACCTTGTCTCTACTAAACTATAAGCCCAAGTCATTCCATCTATAATAATAAAAGCATAATATGCTAATTAGACCGGACGTCCTTCCAGAGGACCTTCCGGACGAAGCCGGGGCTGTAAGGGAAGCCTGGGTCCCGGGTGCCAGAGGGAAGCCAGTGCCTGCAGCCGGGGGAAGGAAGGCCTACTCTTGTGTGAATTTCGTGCATCGGGCCTCTAGTACAAAATAAAAACCCAGAACAGTGGAGCATTTACAGCATGTTTATGTCTCTGAGGAAATATTTCTTTAAAAATTATTACTTCAGTCAAACTTATTTAGGGTAGTTATCTGGTCCATTATGTCAAATTTTGGAGATTATGAGTCCTTTAAATAATTATTTCCCCCTAAGATTAGATTTAAAAAAAAATGCCGTATCCAAAAATCTGATATTGGAAGTTGTTTCCTCCATTTAAACCATTAATGTGCAGTTGGATTAAATATTATTTGTTAGTTAGGAAGTGAAAACTTTAGAGATGCCTAGTTTAGTTCCTTTCTCATCTTTGCCTAGTAAATCATTAATCATATCTCTTTTATTTTATTGATTTTAGAGAGAGGACAAAAGAGAGAGAAACATTGATTTGTTGTTGTACTTATTTATGCATTAATTGGTTGATTCTTGTATGTGTCCTGACTGGGAATTGAACCAGAAAGCTTGGCATAGTGGGAGGATGCCCTAACCAACTGAGCTACCTGGCCAGGCCAATACTACATCTATCTATCTATCTATCTATCTATCTATCTATCTATCTATCTATCATCTATCATCATCTATCTATTATCTACCTACCTACCTACCTACCTACCTATCTAATCCACCTATCATCTATCTATTTTCTGTAGGGGAACTCATTTATTTCATGCCAGGGTCCCCGTGGGTGACAGGTTCACCATGGGCACTGATGATGATGCTAATTGGCAGCAGTAACAGTGTGTTGAAAAGGCCGCGGGTTGCTGGTGAAATGGTCCAGTCAGGGCGACCCTAAGAAGGTCGGCGGGTGGCCATGCCAGAGCCCGGGGCATGACGCTGGGATACGGCCCTGGGTCTCACACAGAAGACTGTCCACCGTGGGCGCTGCAGAAGCCAGTGGGGTCACAGCGCCCGTGCCGTCTCCAGCAGCGAGCTCTCCACAGCACCTGCTGTCTCTCCGCAGGTAGGGCTGGCGCAGCCTCGGGGACAGGCAGGCAGGGTGAGTCCGCGGGTGTGCAGCGTAGTCGGCGGTGTAGGGGACTCGCGCCTACATGGTTGTGAAACAAGGGGGAGGAGGGGCGTTGACTATCCTGCCCATAATGGTAATTTTTCCAGCTTCACACACTCCCTTGGCAGTGGAAGACAGCCTTTCCCTTTCCACCTGTGTTTGGTCAAACCCTCTAAGGAAGCCCGCGGCTCCTGGCACAGCACCTCCAGTTCCCTTCTGTACTCCGGAGGCCTCGCTCTGCATTTTCATCACAAGCCGGCTGCCCCTCTCTGACTCTCTTGTCTTTACTCAGTAAACGGATTTTCGTGCTGCCATGTTATTTGCAGTAGCAAAGCCTGCATCACGGATGTGGAGGATGGGATTGGTGGTTGCCACAGGCAGGGAGTGGGGAGTGGGGTAAATGGATGATGGGGGTCATAAGGTAAACAATTAATTAAAAAAAAAGCTCTAAGGAGAAAAGTGCTGATTCTCTTTTTATTTTATCCCCTGTTCCACTTTTAGCCTAAATTCCAACTTTAGGCTGGGGTAGAGAATTTAGTGTCCAACCCTGCAAGTAAAAAGATAAACAGAATCTAAAATATCTCCAATTACTTGTACACAGAAAGGGTCTTTTTTTTAAACAAGGTTTACATTTTTTTTTTCTGTCTCCAGATAGACTAGAACATAAACATTTCTTTGTAAAGAATCGAGGAAGGCTGAGAGGATGGGTAGGAAATGACATCCGGATAAACAGTTATCCAAGATTCTGCACATGACCTGCTAAAATTTGGACTTTAAAATTCTTTATGAAAACCTTTCTCATTGTATTTTGATGGTAATACCTATAGTTATTATTGTAGTAGTTTGCTAAAACAGCTATCCATTTATGAATGAGATAAAAGACAAAATAGGAATAGATGATATAATTGACTTACATCCTTATATTTTTCTCCCTACTGTATCTATATGGAAACTGTATATGCTTTAGTAGACCCTGTCAACATAAGAACATTCAAACCTGTAGAAAATTTTATGATTTTTTTAGAGTTTATTTGAGCTAGAGGACATGCCTGGAAGCCAGATCAAGGGACTGAGAAAATGCTCTCTTGAGAGTGGTCTAGAGCAGTGGTTCTCAACCTTGTCTGCACATTAGATTCACCGGGGAATCTTTTTAAAATCCTGATTTCTGGGCCTCCTCCTCCGGAAATTCTGTTTCTTTGTGACTAATGTTGTGTCCCCACCCCATAACAAAGAAACAGAATTTCCGGAGGATGAGGCCCAGAAATCAGGATTTTTATAAAGATTCCCAGGTGATTCTAATGTGCAGCCAAGGTTGAGAACCACTGGGCTAGGGCTTGGTTCAGTATTTGATTCATTTACTTTTAAATATATTTCCTGAGAAAAATAAATGTAGACATCATGGGTTTCAAGAAAGTCTCTATTAGATGAATTAGGGTACATTAGAATAGTAAAATTGTATGTTGCCCTATAAC